GTTCTGTTTTTTACTGGCTGTAAGATCAAGTACAGTCTATTATTCTTGAGGGTCTAAACATTTTCTTTGTAAATTTACACTGTGCTGTACAGTGCCATAAAAGGGATCATTAATAATAAATAGAGAACAAGGTAACAGTGAGGTATCAGATGCTTATTTTGATTTGAAACCCGTATCATTTTACCATAGGTAAACAGAGTGAGACTAAACAGCAAGGTGACTGTAATAGCAGGCCCAATGGTGTCATGGATTTGTCAGACAATAGTATAGCATTACCATCTAGTTATACAGGGCATGCAGTTCACAAATCTATTAGTGGAAAATCTCATGGGGGAAAAACAGGTGGAAAAGATCTGAATATGAATGTAGAGTATATAAATAAACCTTTCCTTTGCCTTGTTTTCCTTTCGTCTGAAGTTCATATCATTATTGCTCTTATAATAATGCGAGTAGAAAATATTGGCAAATCTTTGGGAATCCTGGAAAGGTACGTAGTACTTTAGATCTTGGTCATGCATCCCTTGCTTAGCAACTTAAACGTTAGAGCTGCTTTGCAATGATTGACAAACGTACTAAAAGCATACTACACAATCCCCATTCAGAAGGCTTTTGGATAAATTAATTGTATCTCTTTCAGTGCACTGCTTCCTGTGGAGGGGGCATTCAGCAAAGAACAGTAAAGTGCCTCAATACAGAAGATAACGAAGCTGAAGATCAAACTATGTGTGAGCACGAGCTCAAGCCTCCAGAATCTCAGAAATGCAATATGCAAGCGTGCGGGAAAAGTGCAGGTCAGTTAATACACTTGGGTGAGATTTTTCAAAAGAGCTCAGCACCCAACATGCATCCAATGTGCTGAGCTCTCCTGAAAATCTGTCCCCATTTGCACGTGCTAAGCTCTCTTGAAAACTATGCCTTAATGGTGAGGGAGGCAAAGCTGGTGGACTTCCTCTTGGAAAGATCCACAAGGGCAGCATCAATTCTGGACAGAGCTTCATAGAAGTGTCAGGTACTTGTTCAATCTCACGTGACTAGTGCCCTGAGCTCCTTGGCTGCTTTAAATAAGTCCCTCCTGCCAGCCACACCAGTGACAAATCCATACAGGAGCCACAAGGAGTCCTGCTCCAGGGACCGCACTGATTCCCCTCTGCAGTACAAGGATGGAAAGTGTCTCCTAAGACTCTCTCCTCCCACAGTCTTAAAGTGGAGTCCAGTGCTGACGCTAAAGTACCAAAATCCAAGGAAGTCTTCATTTTCAGCACTGAACATGCCAGGATTAAGCACCTCAACATCATCCATGCTGACACTGGGAACTGCAGCACCATATGCGCCTGCACCAAAATACCTGGCACCGACCTCCTTGGCACTACTGGAGTTTTCGGTTCTGGTAGCACACACACTCCCGTTGCCAGCACTGCTACCATACACAACACCAACAGAATTTTCTGTCAGAGACCGGTACTGGACTTGCCTCCCCTTCAGAAGCTAAGGGAGATCACCAAGTACCCACCTCAGTACTGATAATGAGACAGTCACTCGTCAAGTAGGTCTCCACTCGTCTTGCAGAGAGAGAGCAAGGGGGAAGGAGAAGAGAATGGGAGTGAGTTAGATGTGTGTGACGGCACAGCATCCACTCACAATGGAAGCAGCAGCTAGGATTATAGGGTAAAACCTGCCCAAATATTACATCATATCTTTCATAATAGTAACAGAGAGGGCTGTGCCAATATTAACCAGTTCAGATACTGGGTCCTCCCCGGATTTGTCTCCACCCGCTGTGCTCTTACTGGCCCAGATCAAGGAAGAGATTCTATGATTCAGGGCCAGTGCTCTCCAAAGCCAGGGGCTACCCCCTCTCTGGGCTGGCTGTTTGGTGCCTCTTCACCACAAACTCTGTGCTCGGGGCATTGCTCAGAACATAGTCCAGTTCACCATAAAACAGACAGGTGGTTGGGGCAGCACCAGATTTGGAATTCTTATCCTTGGTCTTTTGGTACGTCACCTTGAGCTCCTTTATCTTCTCCCTGCGCTGCTGCCCAGTTTGCCTGATCCCATGATTGGCCAGCAGCTGCTTAGATATACCATGGTACAGGTTGAGGTTCCTCTTTGAGGAGCTATCATGGAGTTTGCTTGCATCAGCCCAAAGCTGGGTATGATCCTCCAGTCAGGTGGCTGCACGCTGATACATGGCCCTCTTACTGAACATTGTTCTGCTGTATCCAACACCGGATATGGGTAGGCTGAAGAAGCCGCAAGTAATGTGGGACTGAGAATGCTGAGCAGAGCACAGGTAGATGGCAAGATAATACACAGGAATAGGTCAGTGTGTTCTTTACAGAAAGTGAGGGGGCAGAATGGGGCCTGAACTGCTGCACTCAAGTATCTGCTCCCTCTTGCCTTATTCGAAAGCTACCACCAACTCCTCCTAGTCCACAAGGCCTCTTAGTTCCTACAGCTTCTGAAGGAATCCCCTCCCCTAGCTAGCCAGCAATCCCTGGTAGTGCAGTGGGACAGGGAGGCAGTGCATATCTGTAAATACGGTACCTTTGAGAGTGGTGTGACACACTGTGGTTTGGGCCTTGTTCATCAAAGGTCCTCGGTGCATGTGCTGCCTTGGAGCTCAGATCCTCTGCTTCTCTCCTATTCTGTCCATGCACTCGCACAGATCTAGACACGGATATAGGTTACTCTCATCTAGACGCCCAGACTATAACTAACTTTCATCATGTTTTTCACCATAGGCCTGCTGTGCCACATGGACAAGCTGTCCATTAATTTCTGCCAGAGACTGAAGCGGATTGGCAAATGTTTGGTGCCATCAATACAGACTCAATGCTGCTTCACCTGTAACAGGCCCCAAATTCCTAACAAAACAAGATCTGGAAATCAACAGCGCTTCAAAGAACAAAATTACACCAAACCCAGAAGAAAATTGCCTCCAATCAAAAAAAGCAACAGCCAACCTCCTGCTGGGCACTAGGTGTTTTTCAATCTGATTAATTTAATCAGGGGTTCCATTTACAGAGTTTTTTCTCTTTTATATTGAGCCATTCTATATAGATGGAAACCTAAAGAACTGATCAATATTGGGAAAATACAACCTTTAGGGCAACCAGTCCCAATATGCTTCTCCAGCCTTCTCTTTAAGACAGCCACAAATTTGTCATTGTGATTTGCAATGTACACCTGTTCCTGGTACTTCTTATGCATGCATGGAAAACAGGTTAAGGACATGCATACAGGATTAATTTGGTCTTTACATGAATTTTGTGCTGTTTGTTTTTCTCCATTTACAGTGGAAGAACAAACTATGCTTCCTCCAAAACAGTATTAAAATAACAACTGGCACTTGTACATAGCACCATTTAGTCCCAGATTCCAAAGGGCAAAGTTATTCTATCCTGTCTATTGTAATTACTGGGGCTTCTCTGCACACAACCTCCTAGGATGCTAGTACTGGGCCGGGTATACTGCAACTTGGAGGCAAGCACTGTAGGTGCTTCAGCCTTATTGGTCCAAGCCGTAGTGGACCCCAATAACTACTCAGACACACGGCCAAGGAAAAGGGCTGGCAGGAAAAGGAAAGGTTGCAAATACCCTAGGTACAGAAGCATAACCAGTTATAGTTCAAAGTGAGCAATTGTGGTTCTTGTTTGGGTCCCTGGGGCAGCCCAATGGACAGTTAGGGCTCTTCAGGTCTAGTTCCTGAGGTGCTGTCTCCAGTCCAATCTCTATTCAAGTAAATAGGCACTTAGAGATTTCCAGGCCAGGATGAGTTAGTGTTCCACATTGAGGCCCCTTTGCTCTGGCTCCCTGCCCAGCCACTGTTCCCCTATAAGTCCCATACAGACCTGCATTCAGCTGTATCATCTGGCATTCACAGCCTGTTCTACATATGGTTCCTGGGGGGTTTGCTCTGAAATCGGCTTCTCTGCAGCAACTTGCTTGCCATGCAGCCACCATTTCAAAACAGAGTCCGACCACCATTTCAAAACAGAGTCCGACCACGTCCGGGTTCAGGAACTTTTCTCTTACCTGGCCAGGAGGGAATGGGGAGAGAACTAATGGGCGTTGTAGTCTCCTCCTTAGCAGATCCATCACACTATAACATAGAGCTCTACTGCATGTTTTGAGCCAGCTCCTTCTGTATATTAGTCACTTCGCACTGCCAGAGTGGTACAAAGTGACTGTAAAGCTGACGCCCCAAAGGGACAGCTGAAGATCCCCACCATGGGCCCTTAGGTTTTGTACAAACTTGTTTTTTGTTTTTTTTTAAATCTGTTTGAGTGTCTCTTAAAACTGCTAGTTATTGCTGTCCCTTTAAAAGGCTATTAACCTGAAATAACTAGTGGAGTTTGTCATAGCTAGCTATGAACTTGCATTCGAAAACTAGTTTAGTCAGCATGTTTTATTAAAAGAAAAAAGTGTTAAACACTTGACTGACTCTCTAAAGGAGACCTCCTAAATACACAGTTCTGAGCATGGTTCTGTTGGTGCAAATATCTTGGAACGACCTAAAGAACAAATGTTTAGGATTAAATTATACCATATATTTTATGCTGTCATGATGCAGTATTCAACCTTTTTTAAAACCAAGCTTTCAGCACCTACTGGACCCAATTAAACAGTTTATTTTACAGTGATAGTCTAAAGCAAACAATCAAATATCTGCTAAGGAAGCCTAGTCAATAGTGGAGCATTTCCCATGTATGGTATCAGATAGTAGGCTTGATCCTACTGCCACTGAAGACAATGGCGTAACTACCCTCAGTGGGAGTTGGATTGGCCTTTAAAACGCGCAAGGATTTAAGCTGAGCATTTTAAAGGGGCTGAAAGGAGCATGGTGCTCAAGTTCACTGAAATTCGATGGAAGTTGGATGCAGAGGCCACTCAAGACAAACTGCCACCTTAGGCAAAACTTCAGTGTTCTGCCCCCCTCCTCATCGGCCTAGAGTTGGCTCAGCTGCCCCTCCATCGTGACAGAGGGGCGGCTGGGCCAAATTTGAGTAGCATTGCAACCTGGCACATGAGGTCGCAACACCACTCAAATTTGGCCCAAATTTGGCCCAGCTGCCCATGATGGAGGGGCGCTGGGGCAAGTATGCTGCCTTAGGCAGTGCCTAGTTCACCTATAACTAGAGCAGCCTTTGGTTGGGTGCTTCTCTCAACCCACCACTTTGTGCCAGTTTTGTCCTTGATACCTCCCTATACTTGCCTAGCCCTTATTTAGAATACTACATTCCAAATGTGGATGGGCCATGAAAGTCCGCCCTGCCTGGACATAGTGCAGGGGTTCTCAAACTTCATTGCACCGCGACCCCCTTCTGACCACAAAATTACTATACGACCCTCTGCCCCAAGTGGGGTGGGAGGGCCAAAGGGCTTCAGCTCCAGTTGGCGGGCAGGGACCTGTAACCTGAGCCCCGCCACATGGTGGGACTCATGCTTCAGCTTCAGCCCCGGGCGATGGGGCTCCGGCCCCAGGCCACAGCAATCTAACACCAGCCCTGACGACCCCATTAAAATGAGGTTGCAACCCACTTTGGGATCCTGACCCATAGTTTGAGAACCGCTGACTGAGTGCAAAGTATTCACGCCCCTTTGCTTTGACAAGTTTTCTATTTCCTAATGCCAAAGCTGACTTCAGCTTTGCAAAGTGTTGGGGGATGCTTGACATGGGTGAATAGAATTGTGGGAAGATAACTGTGTTAACTAACTTCCCAACACTCCTGTATATCATGTATATTATATTAATACCATGCACATAATACCTATTAATGTGGAATATACTATGCCTAACATATGTATTGGCTAACATTTGAAAATCCTAGCCATACCCTGCAGCTTCCTAATTGTTCTAAGGATGTACTACATACAGTCTTCTTGGTTTTATACCGTATGAAAAGGAGTAACACAGTCATAAGTGTGTTGCAGTGACTAAAGGAGTGATTGTAAAACATACTAGAAATACGTTTAGACCTGACTATACCGTACTAATTAAGGCCACGATCCAGCAACTGCAGCCATGCAGGTGAGCATAGCGGTCCATCCCTCGAGAATACACCCACACTCACATACCATGGCATGGCGGCATTTGCAAGATCTGTGCCTCAATTCTTCACTTGAAGTTCATGGGAGTTCTGCAGGTGAAACATCTCAAGATCAGGCCTCTTAATGTGTGTGGGACAACAATTTAATGACAATTACAGCTACTTTATAGCTGCTTTAAATCAGCTGTTAAAGATATGGTGCTAATATAATATGGTGCTAATATTTGGATGGTTACTAAAATGATGTATCATATGTGTGTGTGCGCGTGGTGCATACATAAATAATCTATATGCACATACACTCTCTAAAATTATACAGACCTATGGTGTTGCTGGTCAGTGCCAGTTCTATTGCCTTCTAAACATTACGAGATGCTTAAGAATATTTGCTTTTTATTTTTTGAACTCCTGAATGTTTAATAGTCTGGATAAGGAATAAAAACCAGACCATTTTTATACAGTTTGGAGATGAAGTTATTAAATAAAATGGAAGGACGGATGCATTTCTTCTCTGAAGCAGCAACATGACTGCAAAGGATTTGGTCATAGAGCTCCATTGTCACTCTCAAGCAGAGCTTGTATTGAGGGCCAAACACGGACCCATCTAACTCAATGGAGCTTGCAAGTGCTCTTGAGGTGCACAGCGCCTCTCAGAACTGGGGCTTGAAGATTAAGGGCTTTACTTGACCATCACAATCTCCTCGGATACATCCATACCGGAGCGGCAGTATAATTTCCAGCACAGATAGGTGTTTGATCAAGCTAGCACACTAACCATAGAAGTGGAGCAGCTGCGGTGGGAGGCTCTGGCCGGCCTGAGTACAGTCCAACCATGGTATTTACTCAAACAGCTAAACCGTCCTGCCTCCCATCCCACCATGGCTACGCTTCTATTTATAGCCTGCTAGCTAGATCAAGGCTAGCGCGTGTACACCTACGCGATCTGGAAATTACCTCCATTGTCGACGTAGCTCTAGACTCAGGAGGACATGAGCCTTCATGCCCACGTGGCACAGTGTAGATGAGCTAGGACTAGCAGGCACCCGACAGTGACATGGGAGACAGACCAAGTGGGCATGATATACGTAGAAGGGAACTCACCCAGCTGAGGTTATCTTTCTGTGCTCATTACAGCCAGCATGGAGTAATTTCTCACTTCATTATTTGCATCCAGGCATTGTGATTTATTTAAAATTGAGGAAGGTGAAGAAGTGATGGTCCATTATTCAAATGATTTGACTCCCTTGGGGCCAAAGGGGAGTACTGCCACACTTGGTGCTAAGCTTACACCTTTAGAGGAAAGACTGAGAGCAACATGAACCTTTATAATACAGTTATGCTAGTACTCTATTCTATCTAGGTGCTTATACCATGCTCCTCACCTTACTATCTGCCATATGCTGACTGCCTTTGTAATAGAGTCCCTTGATCAGTTTAACAAGTTTCCATTTTTTAAAAATTCATCTTTTAAGGAAAGATGGTTTTGTGGCTATAATTCTGATGGGTGCTAGTCTCACAAGTGAACTAAATAACCATTCGCTCTAGACGCATATTACGCAAGCCCACCATATTATTCCGAGACACTTCAGTACCCTTCATCTTGCTCTGCATGAGCGCTTTTACACAGCACCTGCACAGGCTGTTCTAGCACGTAAAGTGTTTAAGAAACAACCTATATCAATTTATTATTGTAGCTTCATAATAAATGGCATTACCTATGTGTGACGTGTCTGATATTTTTTATGGTTCCAATAAAAGAGTAATCACGAACAGGAACAATTAGAAAAAATGTTAAAAAAATACCAGCCTGGGGTTCTCCTGTAATTGAGAATTTGCTATACCAGAATCCTCTTACCTGATATATTCAGAGTCCCCTATGGCAATATAACAGAGTAGCTCATTAAAAAGAAAAAGTAGGGAAAAGCGCTGAAAAAAACTTTAATTGAAATAAAACACTGTACTGAATACAAAATAAAAAGTGATATTCACTGTTTCTCATCTTTATTTTCTCTTTCCGTCTCGATTTAGCAATTTTCATATTAATGGACTATATCTTGGAATTTCACTACAAGTTAAATGCTACTCAACTCCTTGGCATTGGCTGAATGCATCCCTGTTAAATGTATTTATTTTAGATTTATACAAAGTACAATAAAAGCACACCCATTCAATACTCTGGGCATTCCTGACCTTTTTTAAAAAAAAGAAGAGTCTACTATATTGCTAACTCTGTGATGATTTAAGCAGCAGTAACTGGCATTTGCGTTATCAAGCTAAATCAGTTCCCTGAGAGGTGTCCCATTAAAACAGCTATCGTACTTAAGCCTGTCTATTTATATGCCCCTTCCCACTGAGCACCTCACAAACACTGGTGAATGTATCTTCACCATACCCCTGTGAGGTAGGCAAGTATTTTATCACCATTTCACAAATGGGGAACTGAAGGAGAGGAAGAACAAAGGACCAGCCCATGGTCTGTAGCTGAGGTATGAATTGTACACAGATCTCCTAAGTCCCATTTCAATGCCTCCAACCAAATACCGCACTCCCCTGTACAACTTCTTCCTGCCCAGATTAGCTGCTCCTCCATTTCTGCAGAAGCACGCCCACAAACCGGTCCCCCTTTGTTCACCTCCAGTTTTATTCCTTTTCTCTCTCTCGCTCATTTTGGCAGCATTTCAAACTTGACAAGATACAGAGGTTTCAGTGTCATTTCCGTAGTCTCTAGCTCCTAAACAGGCTCTTCTCCTCTGAGGGCAAAGACCTCCTCAGTGGAGCAAAGTCATGGGCCATTCTTGCTTCCATTGAAGTTGATTGCAAAACTCTCAATGACCTCAGTGGAAGGAGGATTGGGCAAGTCATCAGCGAGAGGGGCAAAGGTAAGGATTTCTGACTGCGCTCGCACCTGGCAATCCACGCTCAGGAGCC